GTTCGAGGGCAATTATAGTAAAGTTCGTTAGTTACCGCACGAGGGATTTGGTCTGTAAAGCTAGAAAAAGGCTCAAGGGTTCTAAAATTGGTATACAAGAGGACCTCCCAAGCAAACGCTATAAACTGCTTCAATTGGCTCGCGAAAGGGTTGGGAACGGAAATGCTTGGTCAAGGGATGGTGCGATAAAAATACATGTTAATAATAGAATATGTACTATAAAAAATGCAAATGATATTGAGGATCCGCTCACTAAGGCATCAAGGTTATCTTTAGCTTAGATTTTATTTAATGTTATTGTATTACTTTTTATGTATCATACATTTTTCTTTTTTTTTTCTCTCTTTTTGTGAAACGTGCATAGGGGGAATGGTGTTTCAGCGCAAACTTCATTTGTTAATATTGTAAAAGTCGTTGCATTTCAATATTTAATCTTAATACTTTTTCAATTTGAAATAACTTTTTTTTTCTTTTTCTTTTTTGGTCTTTGCTTTTCTATTGCTATGTTATTGAATAGTTTATCTGTGGCTCACATAAATGTAAGATCGCTTCTGTCTGGTTTTTTTGATTTTAAAAGTCATATACTACATTCGAATTATGATATTGTAGCTGTTACAGAAACCTGGTTAAACTCGACTATAAATAATAATAATGTTTACATCGAAGGTTACAATATGTTTCGAACTGACGGAGATGGACGAGGAGGAGGAACAGCTATATACGTAAGTGATAAAAATAAAGCGAATAGCTTGAACACTAATAATATTATTGAGCAAACCTGGGTGGAAATGAAAATAAAATCAAAAGGGTTATAGTAGATTTTTTGCCGATGTGTGACGATATTTTTCTCTTGGGTGATATGAACATCGATTTATTTTCTTGCTCCAACCCTGCCACTGAAAAGCTTTTGAGTTTTCTTGAAGCGTATAGCTATAAACAGGTTATAAACACTCCTACTAGAGTCTCTTCTTCTACTTTTTCCTTAATAGATCTAATCATAATTCCTGAATCAGTATCGCTTATCGGTGACTCTGGCACTGTTGATTTAAATAGTATTTCTGATCACTTTCTTCTTAAATGTACTCTGTCAATGGCAGTTGAACGTGAAACTTATCCAATATTTAGAACAGTCAGGGATTATTCGAACTTTAAACAAGAGGATTTTGATAATGATTTGCGCTCCATTGATTGGCATGTAATGTATCAGTTGACTGACATTAACGATAAACTAAATTTTTTCAATACACATTTACTTTATGTGTTTGATACACATGTGCCAGAGAAGATTGTTATAATCTCGCGACCTAGTGCTGCTTGGCTAACTCCGGTTGTTAGGACTATGATGCATTTAAGGGATAAAGCATTGAATCGTTACAAAAATACTAAGGCACAAGAACATTGGGAATACTAAAAGTCGCTAAGGAACTATGTTACATCCGCGATACGTAGGGAACAGAGGGTTTACATGAATACTATTTTTCAAAATAAAAATACTCGCGATTTATGGAAAACATATAATAAGTTGGGCATTGGGCGTAAGCATAAACCTTCTGTTCCTGAACGTTTGTGTGATGCAGATGAATTCAATAATTATTTCCTGAACAATTCAAATAATAACATCGATCATGATTTATTACAATATTATAACAACACTACGTTACGAAATTTTACGTATTATAGTACGCTTTTCATACTGTAACACCGAGTGAAGTTTCTAAAGTTATATCATGTATTCACTCCAATGCCGTTGGAAGCAATCTTCTTGGCATAAATACAATAAAAATGTCGTGTCCATTCTTATTAGATATGATTACGCATATCATTAATACATGTCTCTTGGAAGCCGTTTTCCTTGACTGTTGGAAGATTTCTATAGTCACTCCATTGCCGAAAGTTAACTCTCCTAAGTGCTATACTGATTTTAGACCTATAAGTATTTTACCTGCTCTTTCTAAAACATTAGAAAAAATAGTTTGTTCTCAGTTGCGTGAACACCTATTGCTTTATGACATCATACCTGATAATCAGCCAGGGTTTAGACCGGGTCATAGTTGCAATACTGTACTAATGGATGTTGTGGACGGTGTGTTGCGGAGTGTCGACAAGGGAAATATTTATTTATTTATTTATTTCATGTGGGTACAGAAACAGGTCGAACCCAATAATACTGTACCACAAACAACCAATTGTATACAAATAAAATAGAATTACAGTTCACAATAATAATAATAATGAATTAACATTAATGGTACAAAAGTGATTCAAAAGGAAAAAAAACTAAAACTAAGTTTAGGTGATATAAATATATCATATATCAAATATCAAATGAACGCTCGAGGCAACACACCAACTGCAGCAAAGAGCAGTTTTTTAAATGCATAGAAAGAATGCTGAAACAGATCTATGTTAACACGATTTGCCGATCTTGCCATTCTCAATAAAGGAGAGTTTTGACAGGCATTGGTTCTAGGAGTAGGTGTCATAAATAGAAAATCAAAGCGAAGTAATCTCGGAGGAACGTGAACACATATAGAACCAACAAGCATTGGAGAATCACACTTGTTGTTCAAAAGTTTGTAAAAATATAATATATCCCCACAAAAGCGACGCTGGTTGAGGGTTAACATACGAAAAGAAGTGCAAGTTGATTCGTAATCAATGTATTGAATGGAAAATTTAAAACAAAGGTATTTGAGGAATTTAGATTGAATACGCTCAATTCTAGATTTATACGAGAGATACTGAGGATTCCAAACGACGCTGCAGAAGTTAAGTGTGCTGTAAACATAGGCAAAATAGAGATTTCTAATTGCAGCAATGTTTGAAAAAGCTACCGTTGATCTCATAATAAATCCTAACATACGCCAGGCTTTGGAGACAACAGTATCGATATGTTTATCAAATAATAATTTATAATCAAATGTAACACCCAAATCTCTAATAAATGAGACACGTTGCAACCTCTCACCAGCGACGCTATAATTGTAGTGGATTGTGTTCACCCTCCTAGAGAAGGAAATAACATTACACTTTGATAAGTTTAATGAAAGGCGATTATTTAAGCAAAAAGCATGTAGATTGTTTAAGTCAGATTGCAGTTTAGAACAATCAAGAGGTGAGGAGATACGGAGAAAGAGTTTTAAATCGTCAGCATACATTAAACATTGGGCATAATTAACGACGTCAAATATGTCGTTAACATAAATATTAAACAGTAAAGGGCCCAGATGGCTACCCTGTGGAACACCAGAAGGAACCGACACAGGATTAGAGAAAAAACCATTAACCGAAACAATCTGGCATCTCTCCTTCAGATAGGAAGCAAGCCATTGCAAAAGATTTCCCTGAACACCAAACTTCTTTAGTTTGAACAGAAGTAAGTTGTGATCCACCCGGTCGAAAGCTTTACTAAAATCCGTATAAACTGAATCAACCTGAAAAGAATCATCCAGAGTAGATAAGATATACTGGGTATATTCAAGCAAGTTACTCTCCACCGAGCGACCAGCAAAAAAACCATGTTGTCTAGAATTGATTTTAGACTTAAGGGCAAAGAATATGCATGCAATGATATTATTAGATTATTCCAAAGCATTCGATATGATAAATCATCATTTGTTGTTAAGCATTATGCACTACATTTTTCTCGGTCAGACGGCAATTGATTTTTTTAAACATTATCTTCTGAACAGAAGGCAACATACGAAAGTTAAAGGCTCATTATCTAAACCAGAATTTGTTTCTAAAGGAGTTCCTCAGGGCAGTATATGTGGTCCTTTGTTATTCATCATTTATACTAGTATGTTCTACAGGGGCTTGAAACATTGTGAATACCATGCTTATGCTGATGATACTCAGTTATTAATATCATTTCCTCACACCGAGACTAATGTTGCTGCTGTCAAAATAAATTCTGATGTGCAATCACTTGTTGACACTTCTGAGGCGCATGGCTTAAAAGTAAACTCCAGCAAATGTAATGTGATAGTATTTGGTAACAGAAATCATAGGAAATTTGTTGATGACAATCTTAAAATTTGTGTAAATAATCAAGAACTACAACACGTACGCACTGTGAAAAATTTGGGTTTGTTAATAGATGATGATTTAAAATTTGATTCACATATAAATAAATTACTACAGAAATTATATTGCGTATTAAAATCCATTTATCCATATCGGCATGTATTAAATGAGAACAGTAAAAGATTACTGACTGATTCTTTGGTTTTATCCAATTTTAATCATTGTGACTCGGTCTATGGTGCTTACATAACTGGGGACAATCGAAGACGGGTGCAGTATGTCCAAAATGGGTGCTTAAGGCTAATTTATGGAATTCGAAAGTACTGCAGAATTTCACATAAGTTAAAAGAATGTGAGTGGCTAAATATGTATAACAGGATCATTTTTCACAGGAGAGTTTATTTTAAAATTTTAAATAAGAAAACACCTGTTTATCTGAGCAAGAAGATATCGTATCGTACTGACATCCACAATATCAATATTCGACGAAAAGATGCACTTACAGTTCCTCGTCACGCGTCGTCTTCATTTGGGAATTCTTTCACTATTTGCTTTATTTATTATTTGCTTTATTCATGCATTCAATTTTTGTTTTTTGTATTTTTTGTCTTGTGCGCTGTATTCATTTTCACTACTTACTTAGAAGCAATATGTTGTGTTCATGGGGACTGGGGGAAGAGCAGACCTCACTACTTTGTGGTGTTGTCTGACCCAGCCACCTGTTAGCCTTTGCAATTTTGTTGTAATTTTGTTTTTGTAACTTTATACTTATTTTTTATTATTATTACGTTTTTGTATTTTGTTTTTTTTTATACTTGTACACTAATTGTAAGGGTTAATAGTCATTATTATTATTATTATTAAATCTGGTTTGTACAGTTCATCCTTTTTGTTGAACGGCGTACCTACAAGAAATCTATATATAGGTTTTATTTGAAAAATAAATTATTTGGTAAACAAAAAAACTGTTTGTTTAGAAGAAACACAATAATTTATTGAATTATATAAAAGCTCGAGAACTGATTAACAAATCATTGGAAAATAGAGGTTTTAGTAATTATATTATTGGCAAGATGTACTGCCGCTGTTGCTACATCCAGCTCTCCAAGGATAATCACATACTTTTAAGTAAGTGTTAAAATGCAATCCTCTAGGACAACGTTGCCAAATCGGACAACCCCAATCGCACATGTAGAAAACCGAACAATCTGTTTCATCTGGTAACATATGAACTTCGCACATATCGTTGCAAATTGGGCATTCCCCAACTGGATGACCATAACCAGGATATCCAGGATATCCGGGACAATATGAATAATCGGGATATGACGAGCAATGTGGATAATTAGGGCAAGGTAATTGTGGCGAACATCCTTCCCCATCGTTGCACTTATAGTAACCTATATAAATAATAATCTTAAAAAGATCCTGTTTAATAATCAATTTAATTCTTACCCTTGATAGTTTTTGAATTTGCAGCGGTTACAAGATCTTTTGGATCATAGCAAAATCTTTGATTAGCATTGAATAAGTAACCATCGGGGCAATTCACTTCATATGCGGTACCATTCACACATTGTAAAAATGTTCCAAAATTTCTTGGGTGTGGAATAGTTATGCTTCCATATGGTGGACAACTTGTAATTACTTAATGTTATTTTAAGTACCAATTCGAGTATAAAATTAATAATAAATATACTTACCATGCCCATAACTAGTAACAGCTAGAACAGATATTATTAATACCGATACAATCATTTTAGTACTGTAGTGAGCTACCATGTAGATTTAATTCATATGGTCGCTTATCTTATATATACCAACAAATAGGTAAACTTTAAAAAACAATTTAAGTGGTTTGTAAACATTTCTAAATCGTCGAATGTCAGTTTTTGATTACAAATATTAGTTAACCGTATATTTACACAAACCTTTTTTATTACACTTTTATACTCAAAATTTCATTACTAATTAATTGTATCAGTATTTAAATAAAAGACTATACATCTTATAATTAATTGTATACAAAGTTCAAGTTGTTGTGCATAAAGTTAGAAAGCAGTTTGATAGGAATTTATGTGAAAATCAAGAATTTGATTTAGGTGTGCTGTAATAGTTAATACATTGAAAACACTTCAATCATTTCTAAAATAAACAACTTAAGGACTTGAAACAAAAATATACGAAAAATTTGGTATATAAGATACCGTTCACATATGCTGAATAGTACATATTGATCCAGTATCAAAATGATTGCATCTTTATTAATACTAAATATTCTGGTGGTTGCCAGTTATGGGCAAGGTAAGAAGTTAATTACAATTACGTAATAATTTTTAATATTCACACATACATTTTCGTTAGGTTTAAATATCTGCCCACCACATGGCACCCATTACATTCCACATCCAAGGATGTTTGGTAAATTTCTTGAATGCAGAGAAGGTATTGGATATGAAAAGTCTTGTCCAGAAGGTCTTCTATACAACGCCAATAATAAATTTTGTTATGATCCCGAACACTTGAAAACCGCCTTTGTTTCTATCCATACTAAAGGTATGAATTAAATCAAACTTTACATCTAATATTAAAAACTTAAAAACGTTGTTGTTTAGAAGATTATCTTAATTTAAAAAGAAATCCCATTATGGGTAATGAAAAATTGTCGTAAATACGCTGATTTCTTTTATGCACTATTTTTTTTCGTTGATATCTACGTACATACATAAATATATATGTCTCGGGAAAGATGTGACCCATCTATTGCAATTGAAAATATTCAAAAAGGGGGTCACAGCAGGCGTGCTTGTAATGGAATGTTGGAGGAAATATATCGGACGACATTCTTAACAACATACGATGCGGAACCACGTTTACAAAATTTTACCTTTAAAAATGTTATATTTAAAAAACATAAAAGGTGATAAAATAATTTGAATTGAGAGAAAACCGCATTTTAAAGCTTTACTATTTATTACAACAAAAATATTTGCAAGTCTAATTAAAGATAAAATCTTCTTCTTTAAAACGATGCATAGTAGTTGATATTAGCACAAAAACTTTTCCTAGAAAGAAGTTATAAAGAAAATATGGTAGTATTTTAAGCTTTATTTGTTAAGATAAAGAAAAGATTATTTCATTAAATTGATGGTACAACCTTCTTCTTTAAAATGATGAATTGTAATCGATATTAGAACAAAAACTTTTCCCTAGAAAGATGTTAAAATGAAAATATGGTAGTATTTGTACATAAAAAAGAAATTAGGGATTTTCAAAAAATCGTGCAAGCTTTATTTGTTAAGATAAAGAAAATTATATTCAATTAAAGATAAAACCTTTTTCTTTAAAATGATTCATTGTAATCGATATCAGCACAAAAACTTTTCCTAGAAAGAAGTTATAAAGAAAAGATGGTAATATTTGTATAGGAAAGAAAATAAGCGATTTTAAAAAAATCTTGCAAGCTTTATTTGTTAAGATAAAGAAAAGATTATTTCATTAAATTGATGGTACAACCTTCTTCTTTAAAATGATGAATTGTAATCGATATTAGAACAAAAACTTTTCCTAGAAAGAAGTTATAAAGAAAATATGGTAGCATTTGCATAGGAAAAAAGATTAGGTATTTTCAAAAAATCGTGCAAGCTTTATTTGTTAAGATAAAGAAAATTACATTCAATTAAAAATAAAACCTTTTTCTTCAAAATGATTCATTTTAATCAATATCAGCACAAACACTTTTCCTAGATAGAAGTTATAAAGAAAAGATGGTAATATTTGTATAGGAAAGCAAATAAGCGATTTTGAAAAAATCCTGCAAGCTTTATTTGTTAAAATAAAAAAAAAATATTATTTCATTAAATTGAAGGTACAACCTTTTTCTTTAAAATGATGAATTGTAATCGATATTAGAACAAAAACTTTTCCTTGAAAGAAGTTATAAAGAAAATATGGTAGCATTTGTATAGGAAAAAAAATAGGGAATTTCAAAAAATCGTGCAAGCTTTATTTGTTAAGATAAAGAAAATTATATTCAATTAAAGATAAAACCTTTTTCTTTAAAATGATTCATTGTAATCGATATCAGCACAAAAACTTTTCCTAGAAAGAAGTTATAAAGAAAAGATGGTAATATTTGTATAGGAAAGAAAATAAGCGATTTTAAAAAAATCTTGCAAGCTTTATTTGTTAAGATAAAGAAAATATTATTTCATTAAATTGATGGTACAACCTTCTTCTTTAAAATGATGAATTGTAATCGATATTAGCACAAAAACTTTTCCTAGAAAGAAGTTATAAAGAAAATATGGTACTATTTGTATAAAAAAAGAAATTAGGGATTTTCAAAAAATCCTGCAAGCTTTATTTGTTAAGATAAAGAAAATATTATTTCATTAAATTGAAGGTACAACCTTCTTCTTTAAAATGATGAATTGTAATCGATATTAGAACAAAAACTTTTCCTAGAAAGAAGTTATAAAGAAAATATGGTAGCATTTGCATAGGAAAAAAAATAGGAATTTTCAAAAAATCGTGCAAGATTTATTTGTTAAGATAAAGAAAATTACATTCAATTAATGAAAAAACCTTTTTCTTTAAAATGATTCATTGTAATCGATATCAGCACAAACACTTTTCCTAGAAATAAGTTATAAAGAAAAGATGGTAATATTTGTATAGAAAAGAAAATAAGCGATTTTAAAAAAATCCTGCTAGCTTTATTTGTTAAGATAAAGAAAATATTATATCATTAAATTGAAGGTACAACCTTCTTCTTTAAAATGATGAATTGTAATCGATATTAGAACAAAAACTTTTCCTAGAAAGAAGTTATAATGAAAATATGGTAGTACTTGTATATAAAAAAGAAATTAGGGATTTTCAAAAAATCGTGCAAGCTTTATTTATTAGGATAAAGAAAATTATATTCAATTAAAGATAAAACCTTTTTCTTTAAAATGATTCATTGTAATCGATATCTGCACAAAAACTTTTCCTAGAAAAAAGTTATAAAGCAAAGATGGTAACATTTTGTATAGGAAAAACATAAGCGATTTTCAAAAAATCCTGCAAGCTTTATTTGTTAAGATAAAGGAAATATTATATCATTAAATTGAAGGTACAACCTTCTTCTTTAAAATGATGAATTGTAATCGATATTAGAACAAAAACTTTTCCCTAGAAAGATGTTAAAATGAAAATATGGTAGTATTTGTACATAAAAAAGATATTAGGGATTTTCAAAAAATCGTGCAAGCTTTATTTGTTAGGATAAAGAAAATTATATTCAATTAAAGATAAAACCTTTTTCTTTAAAATGATGCATTGTAATCGATATCAGCACAAAAACTTTTCCTAGAAAGAAGTTATAAAGAAAAGATGGTAATATTTGTATAGGAAAGAAAATAAGCGATGTTATAAAAATCCTGCAAGCTTTATTTGTTAAGATAAAGAAAATATTATTTCATTAAATTGAAGGTACAACCATCTTCTTTAATATGATCAATTGTAATCGATATTAGAACAAAAACTTTTCCTAGAAAGAAGTTATAAAGAAAATATGGTAGTATTTGTATAGGAAAAAAATTTGTGATTTTCAAAAAATCGTGCAGCTTTATTTGTTAAAATAAAGAAAATATTTCATTAAATTGAAGGTACAACCTTCTTCTTTTAAATGATGAATTGAAATCGATATTGGACAAAAACTTTTCCTAGAAAGAAGTTATAAAGAAAATGTGGTAGTATGTGTATAGGAAAGAAAATTAGAGGTTTTCAAAAAATCGTGCAAGCTTTATTTGTTGATATAAAGAAAATTACATTAAATTAAAGATATAACCTTTTTCTTTAAAATGATGCATTGTAATCGATATCAGCACAAAAACTTTTCCTAGAAAGAAGGTATAAAGAAAAGATGGTAATATTTCTATGGGAAAAAAATCAGCGATTTTCAAAAAATCGTGCTAGCTTTATTTGTTAAGATAAAGAAAATATTATTTCATTAAATTGATGGTACAACCTGGAAACAAGTGATAAAGACAAGATGATGATAGTTGTGTAGGAAAAACTACCAGCATCAAAACTTTTCTCAGAATTACTATGTTATTTACACTTGTTATTATATCTGACTTCTCGTCTTATCTGACTTCTTTTTATAGCTATGAGTCGTCACTATGATTGTCCTGGATGTCGCCCACAACCACCATGTTCCAATGGAAATGGATGTCACCAAAAACCACCTTGTTCCAATGGAAATGGATGTCACCCAAAACCACCTTGTTCCAATGGAAATGGATGTCACCCAAAACCATCTTGTTCCAATGGAAATGGATGTCACCCAAAACCACCTTGTGAAAATGGATGTAATTCTTGTAATAATGAATGTGGTCCTGTAATTCCCCTTAAATGTTCTGGATATCCTGGTTACCCTGGTTATCCTGGTTATGGTTTTCCAGTAGGAACATGTCCAGTATGTGATGGCGTATGCCATGAAAAACTAGCGGATTATCAAGATTGTACCGTTTACTATGTATGTGATCATGGATGTGCAGTCTGGCATCGTTGTCCTAAGGGAACGTACTTCAACATTAATTCAAAAGAATGCGAACTCAACAAATCTTGGAACGAAAGAAACACTATAGCACAATAGATTATGATTATAGTTAACTTCATGTCGTACTAAGTTTTCCATTAATATAAATGTAAAAAGAGATTAGATTGTTGTTTTTATTTCTATTGTTACTTATCAACAAGAATTAACGCAATAACGATCGGTTTTATTGTTAAAGCTTATTAAAAACATATTTCTGTTTGAAACTTTTAAGCAATCGTTAAGAACATTTGATAATCCTTATCAAATGAATAGAAATGTTGCAAACATCTATTATTTAATGTAATTCCCCTTAGGAACAATTCCATATAAATAGACTTTCTTGTTTCTTATCCTTCATTAACTTGTCAACCGTTGCAGCAAATATGTTTAAAACAATAATTTTTACATCCATCGTTGCAAGCGTTGTTGTCACAACAACTGCAAATTGTAAGCAATTTAATTTAATTTTTAAAACCTTAAAAGTTAATTTCAATTTTTAGATGTAGATTGTCCAGCATCGGGGCAACATTTTTATCCTCATCCTTATTATTGCGCCAAGTTTATTGAATGCAACTATGGAGTTGAAAAGGTCCAAACTTGTTTCGGGGATTTAATTTTTAACGCAAACTTGAAATTTTGTGATTTTCCTGCTAATTATCCATGTGAAGATAAAATAGGTAAGAATTTTTATTATACACGAATTTATAATTAAAAAGTAAAATGTTTACTTAATCAAATGTCACTTTTTATGTGTTCTAAATTTCAAGTAGTTTTGATTACACTTTATTACAGAGTGTTGTGGTGAAATAATATGCTTATCTATTAGATCAATCTTCAAATTTTTTTTTATAAGTACTGACTCTATTTATTTTAGATCCCCTTGAATTAATACAGTTTTTTAATTACTATTTTTAAATTTATCATTAGTAAGCGTTAAATTTAGGAATGCGTTAAAATTTAAGAAGTCCTTAAAAGATTAAATTCTACTGACATAGAACCTAGTTTTCTAAGAAGATACTACTGGCAGAAAGCTACATACTCTTGGCAAAAGACTAGCTACTTTAAATACAAGATACTCCATGCAGAAGTGGGTCTATTGCTTCTGAAGATTAAATACTGCTGGCAAACACTAGATATTACTGACAGGAGACTAGATACAGTTGGCAGAAAACATAGCCCTTGAATTTCATAGATAAATTCAAAGTAAGTATGTAAAGTACATATATGGGCGTGCAGAATTTCAAATAATATGATATGATTCCTAACAACCGGATCAACACCGTTCAAAGCAGCATATGTAGCGCCAGATACAAAAAGAATAATTTGCGATTTAGCACAAAACAATGACTTCTAGATACAGGGTGCGCGTAATCTTGATGGTAAAAATATTGAATTTTAACAAATTGGAGTTTATTACCAGAATCAATTAGTTTATGATCAGCAATGTGGTCAAAATTGGATGCTATAATGATGTCAATAAATGTAAATATTTTTTTAAAGAAAGATTATCCCTGCAAATTATAACAAACTACATATTTCGGTTTTTTTGTTGACGTTTTGTTATTTTATATTGTTAGTGAAAGACTAGATACTGCTGTAAGAAAATTTGATCCTGGTAATGGATGAGTAGACACTGCTACTGGATGACTAGATACCACTACTAAACGTCTAGATATTGTATGTAGAAAACTATTTGTACTTACTATTTGAGAAAACTAGACACTATTGGCAGAAGTTATGTTCTTTTGCTACCAACACAAAACTATATACTGGTTGCAGAAGAGTGGGAACTGTTGGCAGAATATTAGCTAAAGGAGTGCTGAACAGTGCTAATAGAAGACTAGATAGTACTGATAGAAGACTAGATAATGTTTGCAAAAGACATAGATATTGCTTACACAAGACTAGATAGTACTGGTAGAAGCTTTAAGATTAGATACTTCTAGTACAAAACATAATTCTACTTTTAGAAGTGTATCTATTGTTTGCAAAAGAAGATACTATTGGTAAAAGACCAAATATTGTTTACAGAAGTGTACCTATTACATGCAGAAGACTTTAAAGTGCTAGTAGAAGACTAGATACTGCTTGAAGAAGACTATATCGTACTGATAGAAGCTTGCAGATTAGATATTTCTAATATAATACTTAATACTGCGTTTCTGAATACTGCAGAAGACTAGATAGTGCTACTAGAAGACTAGGTACTGCTTGATGAAGATTAGATAGTATTGGTAGAAGTTTGCATATTAGATATTTCCCGTATCAGACTTATTACTGCGTTTAGAAGTGCAGTATTGTTTGAAAAAGAAGATACTGTTGGTAAAAGACCAAATATTGTTTACAGAAGTGTACCTATTACATGCAGAAGATTTTATAGTGCTAGTAGAAGACTAGATACTGCTTGAAGAAGACTATATCGTACTGATAGAAGCTTGCAGATTAAATATTTCTAATATAATACTTAACACTGCTTCTAGTAGAGTATCTATTGTATGTAAAAGACTAGATACTATTGTTAGGAGACCAAATACTGCTTTCAGATGAGTACCTATTACTTGAAGAAGACTAGATAGTGTTACTAGAAGACTAGGTACTACTTGATGAAGATTAGATCGTACTGGTAGAAGTTTGCAGATTAGATACTTCCCGTATAAGACATATTACTGCTTTTAGAAGCGCATCTATTGTTTGAAAAAGTAGATACTATTGGTAAAAGACCAAATATTGTCTACAGAAATGTACCTATTACATGAAGAAGTCTTAATAGTGCTAGTAGAAGACTAGATACTGCTTGAAGAAGACTATATTGTACTGATAGAAGCTTGCAGATTAAATATTTCTAATGTAATACTTAATACTGCTTTTAGAAGTGCATCTATTGTTTGAACAAGAAGATACTATTGGTACAAGGCCAAATATTGTTCACAGAAGTGTACCTATTACATGCAGAAGACTTTATAGTGCTAGTAGAAAACTAGATACTGCTTGAAGAAGTCTATATCGTACTGATAGAAGCTTGCAGATTAGATATTTCTAATGTAATACTTAATACTTTTAGAAGAGTATCTATTGTATGTAAAAGACTAGATACTATTGTTAAAAGACCAAATACTGCTTTCAGAACAGTACCTATTGCTTGCAGAAGACTAGATAGTGCTACTAGAAGACTAGGTACTGCTTTATGAAGATTAGATAGTACTGGTAAAAGTTTGCTGATTAGATACTTCCCGTATAAGACTTATTACTGCTTTTAGAGGTGCATCTATTGTTTGAAAAAGAAGATACTATTGGTAAAAGGCCAAATATTGTTCACAGAAGTGTACTTATTACATGCAGAAGACTTTATAGTGCTAGTAGAAGAGTAGATACTGCTTAAAGAAGACTATATTGTACTGGTAGAAGCTTGCTGATTAGATATTTCTAATATAAGATGTAATACTGCTTTTAGAAGAGTATCTATTACTTGCAGAAACCTAGATAGTGCTACTAGAACACTTAATACTGCTTTAGAAGTGTATCTCTTGTTTCGATAAAACTAGATACTATTGGTAAAATCAAACATTGCTTTCAGGAGAGTACCTATTACTTGCAGAAGACTAGATAGTGCTACTAGAAGACTAGGTACTGCTTCGTGAAGGTTAGATAGTACTGGTAGAAATTTGCAGATTAGATACTTCCCGTATAAGACTTATTACTGCTTTTAGATGTGCATCTATTGTTAGAAAAAGTAGATACTATTGGTAAAAGACCAAATACTGCTTTCAGAACAGTGCCTATTACTTTCGGAAGACTAGATAGTTCTACTAGAAGACTAGGTACTGCTTTATGAAGATTAGATAGTACTGGTAGATGTTTGCAGATTAGATAGTTCTCGTATAAGACTTATTACTGCTTTTAGAAGTGCATCTATTGTTTGAAAAAGAAGAGACTATTTTTAATAGACGAAATATTGTTTTTAGAAGTGTACCTATTACATGTAGAAGAATAGATAGTGCTACTAGAAGACTAGATACCACTTGAAGAAGACTATATTGTACTGGTAGAAGCTTGCTGATTAGATATTTCTATTATAATATGTAATACTCCTTTTAGAAGAGTATCTATTATTTGTAGAAACCTAGATAGTGCTACTAGAAGACTTAATACTGCTTTAGAAGTGTATCTATTGTTTCGAAAAAACTAGATACTATTGGTAAAATCAAATATTGCTTTCAGGAGAGTACCTATTACTTGCAGAAGCAAGATAGTTCTACTAGATGACTAGATATTGCTTTCTGAAGACTAGATAGTACTGGTAGAAGTTTGCAGATTAGATACTTCTAATACAAGACTTAATACTGCTTTTCGAAGAGTACCTATTATTTGCAAAACACTAGATAGTGTTGACAAGATATTAATTACTACTAATGGAGGACTGGACACTGCTAGTAGAACACTAGATACTGCTAACAAAAGACAAGATAATGCCACTAGAAGACTAGATAGTACTGATAGAAGCTTACAGAATAGTACATATTGTTTGTAAAAGACTATTGATAAAAAACTATTGCTTTCAAAAAAGTACTTATTTCTTGCAAAAGACTTGATACTGTTTGCAGAAGTGTAGATACTCTCGACAAAAGACTAAATATCGTTGGCAAAAGATTAGTTACTCCCAATGGAAGACTAGTTTCTCCTTATAAGTAACTAAATGTCTAGTCTCTAGTCTATTAAAAACAAATTTGAAAACTAATTGATTGATGAAGAAATTTAAAAACTACTTTTATAACTTTAAATTTTTTGGTACAAAGAAAAAAGCAATTTAGGATTTTTGAGCTGGTTAAGGTTATTAGATATTTATACTAGATATTTATCTCCATTGCTATACATTGAATAGAAAACGAAAATCGTCTTCCTTTGATTGTGGAATTGATCTGATGTTTTTCACATTTTGTTGGATTTTGAGTTGCACGCTAATAAAAACGACATTTTCCGATTACAATTAGCATGTTGTATTGTTTGCTGATTTTTTTGTTGGCTGATAAGATATTGATGACCTATTTTGAGTTTACGCTACTAATCTTTGCTACCAATACTTGTTAAAGTAATAATAATAATATATTATTAGAATATTATTTGTGCTATATAGCATACAATTAAAACATGAAACTTTATTAACAAAATAGTTATTTATATTACAAGTGGGCTAGAAACATAATTACTGTACGAGTGTGGAGAAATGCACAACGAGGTCTAATTGTAAGACCGAGACGTGTACTGTAATTATGCTCTAGCAGACGTGTGATATACAACATTTTATCTACGACTGCTAAAAATTACTTAAAAATCAATTTCTCTAAAAAGATCTATTTTGACATTTATAAAAATATTTTTAAATGATTGTTGACAATTTTGAATTATTGTCAGTTTCAATAACATGTTTACTCATCTAGAATAAGTGTTTCGTAATGTAAAAACGTAATAGCACTTTTTTTGTATTGTTGCTCGTTTCAATAAATTAAGTCTGTTCTGATTGGGCTAAAAATGCGTTACGTAATGAAACCAATGAGATAATGAACTTCATTACATAACTCAAATCATCTCAAATGAGTTAAAAGTATTATTAAAGTTTTTTTTAGTTCCAGGTCCTGTTGGAAAATGCCCCGCTATTAATGGACCATATGTAGATTTTTTAACACACTCTACAGATTGCTCTATATTTTACATGTGTAATTGGGGTATACCCATAGAAATGCACTGTCCACTTGGTTTACATTTCAACCCTACGATAAATGTTTGCGATTTTATTTGCGCTGCTAAATGTACATTGGAAACGAACCAAAGTACTATTTAATATTAAATATTCGAAATATTTGTATTTAATTAATTTATTATTTTATATTACTTTATATGTATATTATAGATTATAAAAATAAAAAAAATAAATCACTACAAGTGTTTATTAAAATCTTTTATCCATTTTAAATCGATTTTGACTGGTCATCAATCAAATCTCGACAGGTTTTTCTCTATTGTACTATTCACCTATTCGTTGAATAATGATTTCCTTATCTTAAGGGTACAAAGAGTTAGTTGTTATCAAAGAAATCTAAAACTATTGAACCTCCAAAACCGTATATATATACGACCGATTTACATACATATTGTCATTAGTTGAATTACAAATAATCAACAAACATCATTAAAAACTAAACATGCTTAAATTCTCCTTAGTTTTTGTTGCCCTTTTAGGCATAACATTTGGTAAGTAATACCTAAATTAACTTATTTTTTGACTTATTATACATCGACTGGTTTTTCTTTTAGGAAATGATATTACTTGTCCACCTGAAGGCCAACATTTTTATCCACATCCAACTCGTTGTGCGAAATTTATAGAATGCAACGATGGAGTTTTAGCTGAACAAGAATGTTTTGGTGACTTGACTTTCAATCCGGTCGTAGGTTTCTGTGATTTCCCCGAAAACTTTGAATGTGAAGACTTGCCCGATACTGTTCCAGAAGGTCCAGTTGGAACTTGTCCAATACAAAACGGCGCTTTAGTTGATTTCTTGGTAGATGCAACCAGATGCAACGTTTTTTACATGTGCAACTGGGGAACTCCCATTCAAATGGAATGCCCAGAGGGCCTTCACTTTAATCCCACAAAGAATGTTTGCGATTATCCTTACAGAGCTGGATGTTTAAGTTACCTTAAATTGTAATTTTTTGAAAAAAATAAGTTTTTAATTTTAATTTAATGTGAAATAAAAAAAAATAAATTATAAAAAAAAATATCAGCATTTAAAATTGAAATCAGAATTTGTATTACTTGAAAGTACAAACCTTACATGACGCTTTATGACAGGCGTCAATCTTCCATCTGGTATTTAGTTTCTTTCCTTGAAATTTCTCAGTCCTGCCAGGAAGCAGGTACTGCGGTGATAAGACTAAATACTGTTGTCAAAAGACTGGATACTGCTGGCAGAATATTCCAAGTTGATTTTCATATCTGTGATATTATTGTGAGGTGCTAAACATTCTTGGCTGCGGTAAAAACTAAACACTGCTGGCAGAAAAGTTGATACTACTCACACAAAACTATATACCGCTTGAAGAATAGAAAGACACTGTTGGTAAAAAACTAGATGCTGCTTGTACAAGACTAGATATTGTAGAAGGCTAGGTGTTACTTGCAGAAGATTAGACTACTAGAGGCTTGAATACTTCTAATACAAGACTAGACACTGCTTTCAGAATAGTACCTATTTCTTACAGAAAACTATACATCACTGACAAAAGATTAAATATTGCAAGCAGAACAATAGATTCTGTTGTATTATTTAAAGAAGCACTTAGATTATTTGTTGATTGAGTTATACTGCTGGTTTTTACTGCTATACTCTACTTTTTTATTTAGGGGGAGTATTTTCAAATTAAAGCGCTAAAAAGAGGTGTTGCTATTGGTCAGTTCTCGACCAAAATTACACTGGGTAAATTCGACATGTTGCCGGCCGGCAACGGCTGTTACCGTATAAATAGAGTGTAAGTCGTATAAAAATCCTTGTTACTATAGATTAAAAGTATATATTGTTATAAAATAAGTAAGTAATAAAATTCGTAACTATAGTTTACTTAAAATCCTCCCTGGTTTTAAAACTGCCGCCAAAAAATGGCTTAGAAAACTTCAACTGTGTAAATGTGACTTTTCATTTTACTCCTCCGAATTAAAAAATATAGTATAGTAGAAGACTATATTGCAGAAAACTTGATATTGCTACTGGATGATTAGATACTGCTTGCAGAAGACTATTTGCTATTTGAAAAAACTAGACGAGTAGACACAACTTATAAAAACTATATAGTACTGGCAGAATGTTAGATACTGCTAATAGAAGACTGTATACTGCTAATAAAACTGGTACTGCTTGCAGAAGCCTACTTGCACTTTGCCGAAGTCTAGAGACTTGAAGACCAGATACTTCTAACACAAGATTGGATACTCCTTCCAGAAGAGTGCCTATTGCTTGTAGAACATTAGATGACTCAATGTTGCAAGGAAAAAACTAGTTATTGTTAGCAGTAGACAAATTAATCTCAATAGAAACTAGATCGTCGTTATAAAAGACTAGATACTGCTGATTCTACCGGCAGAAGACCAGATACGGTTATGAAACGGCTGGATACTGCTGTCAGAATAATAATTATTGCTAATGGAAGACTAGGTAGGAAATAATTACAAGATGAGCTTCATAATGTGATACCATAAATGTGTACTACGTCCTCTTTTAGTCTGCTCCGTATGTTATAAATCACCCTGTATAGTATAACTTTTTGTTACAATACTTTTAAATTACATTTAGTAATTAAATTTTCGAATGTTAATCTTTTTTAGTGCTTCTGAGGATGACTTTTACTAATCGAAACATGTAAAGTAGCAAAATAAATACAATAACCAATATAAGTACAAAGAAAATATCTTTATTTTATTTTATTGTTATTTACATAAATAGTAAGCAACAACTAAAAAATCAAATAACTACATATAACCTATTTGTCAAGTTTGACGTACAATTTCTTAGTCGACCAAAAGATTAAAAAAATCTGTCAAAATTTAGATTAACCCTTAATCAACCCTTTGAAATGCCTCAATTGATCTCAATTTGCTACTAATTAATACCCTTGGTATATACACTCACAACGTATACCAAATTTGGTTTTTCTAACTTAATGTACTACGAAGATATTGAATGTTTTAAAAATTTAAGACTCAACTTTGAAGGCCTATAACTCCTCAAGGGTATAACTTAGTATAGAGGTAAGTTACGTTAAATTATCTTAATTTATTGTCCTCTACATGTCCCTGCTCTGTGTCGGTTCATATGTGAATCACCCTATATATTAAAAATCAAAAGAGTACAACGCTCGTTTTTTCATGTCTAGTAGTTGCTTTGGGATATCTTTACTGGACTTTCTCATGGTCCAATCAAGGTGAGTTTTTTTCTGAGCGATTCTTTTCCCAAAGGAATATGTATAAAGATGTTGTCAGTCGTAATAATTGATCATTCTTACTTGCATCTCCTACTTTTCCCAAATATACTTCGAATTGCAACAGAAAAACGTTGCTGCATCACAAAGGATATGTAAACGCGAAATGAACATCGCCCTTTAAAGCTTCCTAGCTGTTCATCTATGGTCCCCCAAACTGATGGACAGTAACAATCTCTACTAGTAGTAAGATCATTAAATCGAATATGTCTCAATATAGACAAAAATCTTTTTTTACTCATTATTGCCTTATAAATAGGTCTGTTCAATGTTGTATTGTAATTTACCATAAGCTATGAGGATTGACTTTATTTTCTCTGAAACGACCAGTAAGAATAAGAATATCTATAAATCAAATGATTTCCTGATTTTTTTTGTTTTTCATTGTAGTCGTCTACAAACTCTCAGCCTCATTTATTTGTATACTTTACAATAAGATCTACGATATGAACACATTTTTACTTTTTTGGGTAAGACATTTTACTTTTCGAATTACGAGAAACTCAACTAGCATGGTCGACAAACTAAGGAATACAAGATAATGGTAATTTATAAAATAAATAACTTTTTATTAACGATTTTGTATAAAATACAGTTTAAACTCGTATTTTACATAGTATATGAAATCTTTTGTTAGTCACTGTATAAATAATTATTTAAAGTTCTAATTTTAACCGTATACGATTTTGAAAGAGAACTTAAATTTTATTTTTTAATTAGATTGGATGGCGAACTACGAACGATATTACTCTTTTTGTTTTACAACCGGAGGTAATTTATCCAAGATAAAGAGAAAGAATCGACCAGTATTTGATTAAAACTTTTATTATTTAATCATCGAAACACGTAGAATCGTAGATTAATTAATTCCGGTAAAATAGAGAGCTAGAACAAGATTTATTTTGATTTTTTAACTTTTTCGATTTCTAAAAGCATATATTTCCGGAATTAAATTATTTCATCATATTGCTTAGGGATACGATTTTTTGATAACGTTGATTACGTTAAATAAGATATGAATTAAATTAAAGAAAAGATTATCGCGATAATTGATGGATTACTTCATTATCTTTTTCTTCTAATCAGTTTATTTCCTAATTTTTAATTGATCCTCTATTTTATGTAAGAATAAAGACGGTTTAAATTTATATAATCTCGGTTTAATTCCACACAATGATTTATTGATTATTTAATAACGTTATTTTTAATATTTTTAGAGTAAAATTTTGATTAAAATCCTTCAGCAGTGCATCCAGCATCCCAAGGATAATCACAAACATTTAAAGTTGGGTTGAAATGTAAACCATCAGGACATGTCATTTGAATCGGTGTGCCCCAATCACACATGTAATAAATGGTGCAATCGTGGGAATGTGTGAGGAAATCAACATAGTCATTGTGGTTGATAAGAGGACATTCACCAACTGGACCTATTCAAAAACACAAAATTAGGTTACTGTTAAACTAAAATTAATAAAAACTTTTTACTAACCTGGTTCATCGCCACTACCACTTCCACTGCCAATATCTTCCTCTTCAGGTTCTTCCACATCAACACAATCAACATTTTCCTCGAAATCGCAAAAACCTAAGTCGGCATTCCAAACTGTTGATGGGAAGCAATCGTGTTCAACTAAAAGACCTTTGTTACATTCTAAGAATTTTGCGCATCGAGTTGGATGTGGATACATATGTTGTCCTTCTTCGGGGCAGTTGAAATCTGCACATAAACGTAATAAATTAATAAAATAAAAGTAAATTAACATTTTAAAAATATTACCATCTAATGAAGCTGCAAGCCCCACCAAGAAAATCACGATAAAACTTGTTAATTTAAACATTTCTTATGAATTTATCCTCTAATCGTAACCGAAAACTAGGAACTATTGAAACTGTAATTTTCATTCCCACAATTTATAGGGTCATATTTTTTTTTTTGGTCCTATCATAACTGCGGGATATTAAATGCATTTAATCAATTTATTTAATCCGGATTATTGTAATCTTTTGTTCGGATCTTAGAAATAGTCCTAGTATGTATTATCTAAAATATTTGTATGTAAGTTAATCTAAACTGTAAAAACTACGATAAGGTTTTATTTATCCAAATAATCATTTCTTTTTTTTTTCCTTTAAAATTGCGAAATATGAATTAAGATTTCGACGTAGATCAAGTAGCACAAAGAGAAGTGATGCAGGTCCAAAGAATGGATAAGGAGGATTGCCGAGGCGGTTGGTCCAACAAACTGCCAATCGAGAAAAACTAAATCTTATAGTCAGTTAATATCCATATGATTTTTTGAAATTTTCCTTTTATTTTGATTTAAGAATATAACAATTTCTTCTTTATAATTTTTCCTGGAAAATTCAGTAATATCATCTTATAATTTTTATATCATAAACTAGAATCTTTAAGCCACTTTTTAAGATACACATTACATCATGATTCCTAAAAATACAGTCGATATGATTTTTTGAAAATTTGGTATTACGTTTGATTTATAAATTTGACAATTTCTTCCTTAATAACTATTTTCTGAAAATTTCAATAATATTATCTTATACTTTTTATATCATCACATAAACTAATAATCTTTAAGCTATAATTTAACATACACATTATATCACGTACAAAACTACAGTCGATATGATTTTTTGAAATTTTCGTATTATTTTTGATTTATAAATTTAACCAATTTCTTGTTTAATAATTTTTTCCTGGAAATTTCAATAACATTATCTTATAGTTTTTATATCATATCATTAACTAGAATCTTAAAGTATAATTTAAGATAAACATCAGATCATGAATCTTAAAAATACAGTCGATATGATTTTTTGAAAGTTTGGTATTATATTTGATTTATAAATTTGACAATTTCCTCTTTAATAATTTTTTCCTGGATATTTTAATAATACTATCATATAGTTTTGATATCATATTATAAATTAGAACCTTTAAGTTACAAGTTAACACACCTATCGTACCAAAATTCGTAAAAATACAGAGTCGATATGATTTTTTAAAAATTTCTATTTTTCTTTGATGTAAAATTTGACAATTCCTTCTTGAACAATTTTTTCCTGGAAACTTCAATAATATTATCGTATAGTTTTTGCATCATATCATAAACTAGAATCTTTAAGCTCCAATTTAACATATATATAATATTATGATTCCTAAAAATACAGTCGATACGATTTTTTGAAAATTTCGTCTTATTTTTGATTTACAAATGTGACTATTTCCGTCTTTAATAATCGTTTCCTGGAAATTTGAATAATATTATCGTATAGTTTTTGCATCATATCATAAACTAGAATCTTTAAGCTTAAATTTAACGTATATATCATATTATGATTCCTAAAAAGAGAATCGATATGATTTTTGGAAAATTTCGCGGTATTTTTTATTCACAAATTTAACTATTTCGTCTTTAATAATTTTTTCCTGGAAATTTCAATAATATTATCATATAGTTTTGATATCATATCATAAACTAGAATCTTTAAGCTTCAATTTAACATATATATTATATTATGATTCCTAAAAATACAGTGGATATGATTCTTTGAGAATTTCGCGTAATTTTTGATTTACAAATTTAACTACTTCGTTTTTAATAATCTTTTCCTGGAAATTTCAATAATATTATCATGTAATCTTGATATCATATTATAAATTAGAACCTTTAAGTTACTATTTAACATACATATCATATCAAGATTCTTAAAAATATAGACGATATGATTTTTTGAAAATTTCATATTTTGTTTGATGTAAAAATGTTACAATATCTCCTCTAACAATTTTTTCCTGGAAACTTCAATAATATTATCGTATAGTTTTTGCATCATATCATAAACTGGAATCTTTAAGCTTCAATTTAACATATATATCATATTATGATTCCTAAAAATACAGTCGATATGATTTTTTGAAAATTTCGTATTTTCTTCTAGTATAAATTTAAAGTACCTTTTATATGAAAATGTGGTTGGACGGTTCTTTACACGATTGCAAAAGTTACATCTACCTCTTACATTCCAGGATATTTGTGGTTGTTATTCAGTTCTTACAACATGTTTTAGAATCTCTGGTATCCTGAATTTGATTATTTTTGGTATACTACGTTGTTCTACTAGAGCAACAGATAAAATTTTGGAGAAATTGTTTTTGCCGAAATCGTATTATTTCTGGATTATTCAATAAGTAAATAACTTGTGCATTTAGTCTTGCTATATTTAGCAAGGCTTAAAAAACAACCATTCGCCACCTTCGGGTCGCTCTTTAGGGTATCCAAATTTCACAGGTAATTCGCGTTTGTTCTTTCTGACTAAATCGTTCTCCCTAAATAGGTCTATTTATATTTAGTTTTTAGAGTGTTAATTAGAGGTACTGATGTGAACCAATTATCCGCAGTCACATTTCTATTTGAACCTTTTGGTAGTTCACATAATCTTTCTACTACAGCATGAGAAGAATTATTACATGAGTACTGACCTATTGGTTGAATGCCTACGTACACTTCTAAGTTGCAAGCGAAGTATGTTTTTGCATCAGCCAAAACAAATATCTTAAGAACCTTCCACCACTACCCTAAGAATCTATTGAACCCCGATAGATAACGTTATCAATGCTCTTAACCAACATTAATACTTTTCTCGGTGAAAAGTCATTCAGATCCTTTGGGGAGGTAAACTGCGACCCAAAAATCGAGGAATCTGATACGATTAACAGCAGAGCAGTGGCATAAAACATGCTCAATCATCTCCTCGTCCTCCGCACATAATCGGCATTCAACATCGTCGACTAGACCCAACAAATTGAGGTGTGTGTTTAATCGGCAGTGCCCAGTAAAGACACCCATTACACCTTTAATGCCATTACGAGCAAGTCCTAAAATATTTCCTGGTTTTACAGTGGCGATGTTGATAAACAACTTAGCGTGTCTTATTCCAGGAGTACTGGTCCACACTACGCGAAGTCCCTCTACAGCTCACAGTCCAATCCTATGTTTGGCAATCGGAAATGATATACACATAACGCTTTAGGGCTGCCCTCTCGTGCTAGCTCATCTGCCGTTTCATTGCCAGCAACCTCAGAGTGACCTGATACCCAGTTCAGAGAAAATTTGTTATCACAACACAGTGTGTTTAAAGTTCTTTTACAGTCATTAACCAGAGCCAACACTGTTTTAATAAATAATAATTTAACAAATATTTGCCTGAACCAGAGAATTTTCGTTTTCGATCCAGGACTACCGTTCAGGCAGTGCAAGCTGTTATCGAGCATTAATCACTGATGGTGATATCGTCAAATCTGATGGCATTGATAGCACAATATCAATGCTTATACTGTTTTCCGCAGCGCATTGATAGGACATATCGGAACAGTTTTGAGCATATTGCTTAAATCTGTAAATGGCAGTTCTAGCCACTTTCTCTATATGCAAATTCAAACGAAATAGACCAAGCAGAACATCCACCGCTACAGTTGGCGTTGTGCTTATCGCATCACAGATTGCCAATCCAGCTACTCGTTGAATTCGTGAAAGTTTACTGATAACTGAAGTCTGTCAGGCTTTCCCACACCAGGTTTGCTGCTCCGTATATGATCATAGGTCTAACCACAGTCACATAGAGCAACTTATTAATTGATTTTCTTCCATTCTGCGTCTCCAACCCGGCAAAACATAAACTTTGTAGCAAAAATTGAAATCTGGTTCGCGTCGTAACTACACCAGATAATTCTATTTCTATTCAACGTGTGAAGTGAAGTTACCCATAAATTCCATCCATAAAAAGAACTATTTTGTTTGTGTATCGATTTTAATGATTAATAGCTCATTAGAAAGATCTCGTAGAGTAGAGCCTAACATAGTTTTGGTTTCGCAGATTTTGGGCGGGAACACCTTAAATTCCGCGAAAAACAATAAAATATATAAGAAAATTCTCTAACTTTAGAGTCCCAAAAATTGAAAACTAATTAACATAATATCAGGTATGATTACCAAATCAGAATGCGTATACTGTCTTCAACGCAAAAGTGAATTTTGGTCGTCGCTAAATCATATGGGTAATTAGAAAAGTGTAACAAAACACGAACCTGTCTCTAGACGTATGTGGCACCAGGCGGTTCTTTGAAAACCAAGATGATATCCATAAGTATAGCTGCTTTGTTAATGGTCCGATTTAAGTGTGTGATACCTTTTTGGAAAGGGTTCGTCCTGTAGATCATGTCATAGTAATCACGGCGCGAAATTCTAACAATAATGGTAGTTAAACGATTAAAAACGTTATAAACAATCATATCCAAAGATAATAAGTATCTAAAACTCGCTACAACAATTATGTACAAAATGATATCAATTAAACAAAATTGTACTATAAGTAATAAACTATTAAAATCTAATTTAATTGTAGTTACATTTAGTTGCTACATTAAATTGTACATAAAAATTCATGGCACATTTTTATTGTATCGTATAGGGTCGTTACCCACATTTGAATAGAAAGGCCGTCTTTCAAAAAATTAATAAAGTATGTAAAAATAGAAGGATTGGCAACATTTGCAGATCCTAAAATTGTTTAATTTTTGCAATAATTAATATTAAAATTCAAAATCCCCTCTATAAAAGCTTTGGTGACGTTTACGAGATTTTCACGTAAGATCAAGAAGACACAAACGTGCATCGTTCGGATCTCTTCTTCTAGCGCATAAGATTTTCGTGGCATCTCGCTCATGCACCTTTTATTGATTTTTATTTCAACCAACCACGTGCGAAACGACGGTGACGACTCTAAAGTTATTTCAAATTTTCATTCTATTTATTGGAAAAACTAAAGTCCAATTTAAAAAATAATAAATTAATAGAAGTCTTCAATTTTGCTAAACTATCGAATAAGCTAATAAAAAAAAGAATGTGTAACGGCCCCATTACAGTTTAAGGTCGGTGTCTACAAAATTCACACAGCTCATCCAAAATATTTTTGCAGGTATCATGGGCCATCTACGAGCACTGCTTGCATTTGAATTCATTATGAACCTCTTCAGCGAAATAGAGACATTTTTCCTTTAATGCGTCGGAAAAGTTTCAATAAATATTTTTTATATCTTTCTTATTTTTTGAATCTGCATTTAATGATTTAAATCAGGGTTGCCCAACCTACAGCCCGCGAAAACATCTTATGTGGCCCGCGGGGCCTGTTGCTGTAAATGTTGCTGGCTGTTGTTGAAGGTCGTATTTTCATACTATGAATTGTATATTAATGGATCCATATATGTTATTGTATGAGTGATTAAGTTTGCAACATTGACGTCCAATGCCGTTGAACGTCATGGTATATCGGAACTATTACAATGTCGATGGCACAGGAATATGTGGACGTTGGTTCTATTTATTAATTCACATAATATTGCAGAATATTATTCTATTAAAAAATTATATAAGTGCATATCAGAGATATTTTTATGCTGTAAAAGGGTTTGAAAACTGCTGTAGTATAACTTTCCTTTATTGAACAATCTTTCGACAATTTAAATGGCATTGTGACGTCGTTGTTGGTCGTAGTTAGTTACGGACAATTAACAAAAAAGTTATATTTATGGATATGATTGTTTATAACGTTTTTAATCGTTTAATTACCGTTATTGTTAGAATTTCGCGCCACCATTACTATGACATGATCTACAGAACGAGCCCTTTCCAGAAAAGTATCACACATTAAAATCAGACAATTAACAAAAAAGTTATATTTATGGATATGATTGTTAATAACGTTTTTAATCGTTTAAGTACTGTTATTGTTAGAATTTCGCGCCGCCATTTCTATGCCATGATCTACAGGACGATCCCTTTCCAAAAAGATATCACACACTTAAATCGGACCATTAACAAAATAGTTATACTTATGTACCTACCTTTTAGCGAAGCCTTCAGTCCTGGCAAATATTTTATTATGTTCCCGGCACATCTTTCTTACGTTTCGACGTGGACCATGTTTTTGTCATTTTATAGCATCTTTACCAATAAAATATGATCCTAATAGGATCATATCATGTTGGTTCTTGTTCTATATCCGTTGCGTCCTGTTCACTAGAAAAATTTTCCGGGTCCTCTTCGTCGACAAGATTTTCCACTACTTCGTCATTTCATCATCTTCGACATCTTGTAAACTTTCATCGATTTCTTCCTTTTCCATCTCACGCAAACAAACGTCCATAAATTGACTTAATGGTTGTTGTTCTTTTTCATATGTAACCATTACTCATTACACAATTGAATTTCACAGCACCGTGAATTACTATGACTTTCCGTAATTTAAAATACAGAACAAAGAATGATAGAAAAAGGTAAATATTGTTTGAACACCGGAAATAGTATTTAAACCTGGTACATAGAGCCATAAACGTTTACCTGGAAGGATCTTATAATTTTTATATACTAGAACCTTTAAATTTCAATTTAATCGATTATTAGTCGATTTAATTTTCTAAATATCTTGGATCCAAAGATCAGAAAACGTAAGTTCAAAAGAACCAAAAAGCACACCTGCTGATTTTGGGGGGACACTGTATATTATCAAACTCACATTTATATTAAAAAAATATATAGTGTAGTGAAGTTTTATTATTTATTTAATATTTAATAGAAATCTCATAAACCATAATACTTTTAATCCCATCACATAGTTTTAAAACCTATTATTTATATGAATCCAAAGTTTCTTGATAATTTATTTTTGAATGCAACCAGAATGTTCAGGGTAATCGCAAACGTCAAGTTCGTGGTTGAAATATAATCCTTCTGGACAATCCATTAAGATTGGCTTTCCCCAATCACATTCATAATACCTTCTGCAATCGGATGCATCAGCTAAAAAGACGGCGAATTCGCCGTTGGTTTCGGGACAACCTTCCGGTGCGGCCGGAATTTGTTCAGCAACGCAACCAACTGAATCCGGGAAATCGCAGTAATTCAAAGATTCACTAAAATGTAAGCCCATGATGCAATCTTGAATGGTGGCGGCGCCGTTGTTGCATTCAATGAATTTAGAACAATCGTATGGGTATCTAAAGAATTTTTGACCGGTTGTAGGGCAGTTGTAATCTAACAAAAAATAGAAAAAATTAATAATAAAAAAACTATTAATCTTAATCTTACCTAAAGTTGGAATAGCAGCACTGGCATAAGCCAAAATAGCTAAAAACACCAATTTGATCATGTTATTTTTTTTGAAGAGAAAGTTGTTTTGATGTGTAATAATCGATAAAATGATTTATTCTGTTTAATCATTGTTTCTTAGATGGTTTATATACCAACAAAAAAATGCAGAATATGTCAGGAAACGTCGATAAGATTGATACAAAATTAAGAAGATTTGTTAACAACATGTTTATTCAATTAAATTAATTAAACAATTCTTGGTACCTCAATAAACAGGGCAATTCAATTTTTCTTAGTTTACTCCATGTATTGGTTTTTTAATCGACAAGATCTCATTTAATCAATTTCCGATTTCCGACAACAAATAACGTTTTAATTCGTTAAACGATAAGTAATCACTGTAATCAGTTCCGGTGATTTTGATGTAAAGATGATAAGAAACTACCAAAAATTAAATACAAGTAATTTTATTTTGAGTAGTTCGGTTCAATCTTTTTGTAAAGAAGGTGTTTTTAAAATTATTTTTGAGGTAATAATTATCTTCTATTATTATGTTTTAATAAAATTCAATTCATTTTTTCCATTTTTTTTAGATTTTAATTCTTATTATTATTCCTGAAAATTATAAAAACTTTATGATTTTTTAAAATAATTGAAAAAATTTACAAGTTTGCAGATTCTCTTTTAACTCTATTGTATTGGTAATTATCAATGACAATTTTATGAATCGACAATTTAGAATATTTTTGACTACATCAAACATTGTTATTATTTATTCTTGAGTTAAAATCGGATTTGTTGTTGAAAATGCAATATTTATAATTTTTGAGATTCTGACATTTGTGGGTTGGCAATAAACCATAATGGACTAAATCACTATATGAATTATATTTTATAAGTTAATAATTAACATTTTTTGTTCACCACAATATTTTCTATTTCATTGTTGTTCATATTTCTATATCAACTTCTTGAGTTATAATCAACTTTGTTGTTAAAAACGGCAAATTTGGGAGTTTGCACATTCAAACTCTTTTGAATTGGTAACAATCAATAATCATGTTAAGCATCATGTTTTATATGATAATTTAGAATGGTTTTTTGATTACACACATTTTTCCGTCACTTTTTATTGAGGAGTTAACACCGGTTTTGTTGTTGAAAACGCAATATTTATAATTTTTCAGATTCTGATACTTAGGTTGGAAATAAACCTAATGGACTAAATAACTATATGATTTACATTTCATAGGATAATAATTAACATTTTCTGTTAATAACATATTTTTTTATTGTTTCAACTTCTTGAGTTGTAATCAACTTTGTTGTTTTAAACAGAAAAATTTTACTTCACAACTTGCTTTTATTAAATATGTTCAGTACATGTTTCGAGAGAAACCTCTCATCTTCAGCTGAATCTAATATAAAGATTGGATACAATATTAATATACATTACTAAACCATTTTAAAAAATAAAAAACTTACGTCATAATTAACGAGATAAACTATAAAAAATTTTAATATTTTCTAAAGCTTTTTCTCGTATTAAGTTTAAATCTCGCTCGCCTCCTTTTTTTCCTGCAAGCATCAATCGCAAATTATCATTGATCTTTCCCCGTTGTTGAACACTATTCAACAGCATACTCGGTGTTTCTTTTGTTGATCGGTTCACAGTATTGTTCATGGCAAATTCCACTTTCAGCAGCGCTCTGTCCCATTTCTTTGGATCTTCTACCAATTTACCCAATAATTTGTTTACGGATTTATTTACTACTTCAACTTGGCCATTTACCTGAGGCATCCCTATGGCGATTAATTTCATATTCATTAACAATCTTCTTGAATTCATTTGATGTAAAACATGATCCACGATCCGAAACAATTCTCTGAGGTTTACTATAGGTATCAAAATAAGTTTGTAAATGTTTAATCACTTCTTTGCTATCCGTTTTCCGACAAGGATATAATCTCAAATATTTTGTAAATCCATCAATTACCGCCAGTATGTACATATTCTTATAAGATGTTTTTTCTAATGGTCCGTAATGATCTATATGAATGGTTTCAAAAGGTAAATTCAGGTAAACAGTGTAGAAATCCTTCTTTCTTTCTAATTTCAGGTAAATACACAATACATTTCAGACAATTTGAAATATAAGATTTAACTTTCTTTTTCATTTCCGGGAATGGTCTTATTTACACCCGAATGACCGATATTGTCTTGATAAGTATGAATAACATGGTTCTCCATTTCTTTTGGTACATAAAACGTTAAATCTTTCTTAACTTTTCGATAAATTAACCCGTCACGTATTTCAAACGTTTTACTTTGACTATTTGCTAATTTTTCTCTAAGTTCTTGTATTTGTCTATTCTGTTTTAGACTTAAAATTCTTTTAAAAGTATTATCTTCAATAACTAAAATGTTTCTTCTACTTAAAGCGTCAACATGAGTCATCTGTTTACTTGATTTTTGTTGAATATTATAATTATAATTTTTAACTCCAACGCCCATCGTAAAATTCGAAGATTAATCTTGTTCTTTTGTAATGCTAACTTAATGCTATCACAATCAGTCACAATCTTAAATTCAAGTCCTTGCAAATAAACTCGAAATACACTATGGCCAACATTTCTAGTTCGTACGAATGATATTATTTAGATTCTGTTTCTGTTGTTCGTTTACTAAAATAAAAGATAGGGTGAAAGCGTCCATCATCCTGTCTTTGCATCAAAATTGATTCTAAACCATAAGATGATGCATCACAATGTAACTATGTCTCTGCTTTGGGATCATAAATTGACAAAATTGATTTCTGCACTAACAACTTTTTCAAATATTCAAACGATTTCATTTCTGCTATTCCAAATTTGAAAATGGCATTTTTCTTTAAGAGATCATGAAATTCTGTATGAATCGACGGAAATACAAAGCTAAACCCAAAAACCTTTATACCTCTCGAAAATGTTTGGGAATTGGAAATTCAGTAATTAATTGCTTTAACATTTTCCGGATTAATTGTAAAAAACTACATTTCTCCAATTTTAAAGTTAGTAAATTCCTATTCATTAAATCTAAAACTTGTTCCAAAATTTTTAAATTTTCCTCTATTTCTTCTGTAGCTATTAAAATATCATCGATGTAAATACACACCTTATTTCGATTTATAAGATCTTGAAAAATCATATTTATGTACCTCATAAATGTTGCTGTGCTATTTTTTAGTCCGAATGGCATTTTAACATATTCAAATTGACCATTATGAGTAACAAATGATGTTAATTTTATAGATCTTCTAGTAAATGTAACGCTTTAATAACTTGAATGTTCGCCCTTCTAATATTAGCTTTAATAAATGTAATATCTTCTAAGGTTAACATTTTTTTTTATGTTTTCTCGATTCGTCGGACTTAATGACGTAATCGCTTCCCTGCCAATCGATATTATCTTTTTTTAGAACTGCTTTTAATTGAAGCTTATTTCTATTTAATAATCAGTTCTACAACCAACTATTCTACCGAAGATCAGTTTACGTCACCTGTACAAACTTCTGCGTTTTTCCACTTTTTTTTTCTTCACTCGTATTTTAATGTCCAATCCCACTTCTGATAAACTGTAGGGATATTCTTAATTCCCTTTTGTTTCAGGACACCTCGGCACAATAAATAATTTTTTCTTCGAAATTTCCATAATATTATCTTATAGTTTTCATATCATATCATAACCTAGAATCTTTAAGCATCAACTTAACATACATATCATATAATTCTTAAAAATACAGTTGATATGATTTTTTGAAAATTTCGTTACGTCTAAAACTAATAACAGAAAAAATTAATTAATCGGATTTTCGTTCAGCAGGATTAAATGTAAAACAACTTCTTTAAAATAGCTAATCTTTCGATTGTTGATTAAAATCTTCTTCAGTGCATTTTATTGCTAAAAGATTTTACAATGAAAAAACGTAAGTCAACCAACAATATTTAAGAAGCAAAAAATATAACTTACTTGTAACTCGAAGTGGCGTAAAATCTCAAAATTCGTCAAAAATAAATTGATCAAAAACATGTTAAAATTCAAAAACAATCAAAATTGAATAATGAACCATTAAAAACTCGAAAAACTTAATAATAAAACGTGGAGAGGAAGATTTGAAAGGTGACCAAAAAAATTTTGTTAGGGCTAAAATTACAAATATCGTTACTAATAATAATACTAATTATAATAATAATATATTTTATTGTCGTAATAAACCATTGCTACAAAACGTCATTGAATACATAAGAAATAAAATGAAATATCAATAATACAAATATACATTTCATGGCAATTACACACTAGACATTACGCATTAAAATTGTGAGACTGAACTATGGTGAGATAGGGTAAACCATACAATTATTGGACAGTGACAGTTATTAGACAGCACAGATTTATTTTAAAAAAATAAGAACTTTGCACAGGTTTATGTATCATAGTCGATTGTTGGTGGTAGTTGATATCTAAACTATGAGATGGCTGTGGTGTTACTGAAATCTGTCGTAAAGTTGATGTATTAAGTTAACCTGAACATCGTCGCAAGTCGTTTTGCTAAAGGTTTTGACAAGTTTGTATTTTTTTGTGATGTTGATTGTGAAACATTAAGGTAAGTTATGATTAATATCCAACTCCAAAAGGTAGTTTATACTTTGTAGAATGGTGTAACGTAGTTAGTTTAGCGTTTCTAATCTAAAAGGGTAAAGTGTTCCAATGTCCAATAACATCATAATCATAATCAGCGTGGATTTTAATCACTTTAGACTGTGTCCAATAGCTATAATTATAAAACTGTAACTCGAAATAGTTATCGGACACATTCGAACACCTACATTTAACATTTCTACTTTTGCTTATGTGCCTTATTATTCCTTAAAGGTTGGTATATATAGATGGTAATAGCATTTACTACAATGCTGTCCAATGATAGTATTTCCCCAAAAAAGGATTCCTGCAAAATTGGCCCAATCTGTGAGTAGTAAATGAGGAATAGGTAGGAGTGCTAACGGGTGGATGACTGAGGAAACATTTTATGAATATGTTGCGAATCAATTCTAATAATGTTGCCACCCATTTCTAGTAGAAA